TAAAAGTCAAATAGCTATATGCTTTAAATGCTGGCGATTGGTAAAGATTACTGAAGTAGAGCCAAAAAAGGTATATTGGGACAGATAGCATAAATGGGGTTATGAGATTAAATCAGAAGACTTGATGCAAAATCATTGGGATAATGAATGCTTCAAAACTAAAATGCAAGATGAAAGTATACAGGTTATCCAAAATATTATGCCAATCAAGTCTATGAAAATCAAAAGCTTTACAACTAGTTTAATTAATGAGCCATGTTCATTGACTCCTCTGCTATTACTACCAAAGCCTTTTGCATTAATTGGCGGTCTCTTGAGATACTCATGTAAACATAGTGTAAATATACCCGAGATTAAAAATCTTTAAAGTAATCAATCAAATATGCTTATCATTTCTAGCAAGACTAGTTTGAACCATGTTGCTGATGCATATTTCAATTCTGTACGAAAAAATGCAAAGGAGATAGACTTAATATCCTTTGATTAAATAATAGCATAAATTTATTTATCTTTATAATCTATTTACATATAATTATTGGGTTATATATTCGATTTTTTTGATAGTTGTCCACCATTTTTCTAATGCTATTCTTGAGATCACAATTGAGTAATATATTTCTTGTCTTCTCACAATACTTGCTCGAAGCTAGATATATTTAGTTAACAGATTTTTAAAGATATTATTAACTATGTATCTTTTTTTAAGCTTTGAGAAAAAATGTAAAATAAAATTTTCAAACTAAACTATGTGTTTGAAGATAAAAATTTATTTAATGTATATTAAATATTTATAATACAATAAAAATATATTATATTTTTATAAATCTAGAAGTGGATCTTCTGCTCTTAACCCATGCCTAGCATGTACCAAAGAAGTATGACCCCTTCTACAATTTGTTGATGAAGGAAAAATTGTTATTTGTTCTTTTTTTAGTTTAAAAAACATAGTTCAGGAATTCAGTCCTTGAGCATTGTTAAGATTTTAACGTTTAATGAAAATAACATCATCCCCATTAGCATTTCTCTTAATCCTATCCTTCAAATCATTATATACCTCATTGAATTTTCGTGTATTATGAAAAAGATATTATATACAAAGTATACAATACTATGACGAATACCTTTTGTAAGTGGGAAATTACTATAGAGTAAAGACACAAGGAAAATGCCACAACTTGTCCAGGCCTAAGTGATACAACAATCTGGAGTTGGGAGAAACATAATTCCCCTCTCTCAAATTCTCTGAGGGCAACCAAACAGCATAAACTATTTGGTTCATCATGTTCATCCCAATAGTAATTGCTAGTTGTATTGTAATTAATAGCAATTATTGAAAAGATTCCAAAGAGTTGAGGTGCAAAAGGTCTTCACACCAACTTCTCTAGTTTTTCATATAAATTTCTGTAGAATTCTTGTACAAATTCATTAATAGAGGTTGATAATGGGCCAAGGTTGCGAAGTAAAGTGTTAGCACATTCTTGATGCACAATATTATAGGAGCTTGTAGTATTTGAACTAGTAAATGGAAAGAGGTTATTTCGAGTATATACACCAAAATGTTCTATAAAATTTTTACAGAATTCATCACTATGGTGGGAGGGGTTATTTAGGGTGTGAAAATAATAATGGTTTACGGCATCCGTTGCTTGTATAACCGCCCTTGGATTATTTAGTAATGCCAAGTGTACTAAGGTTCTACCTTCTACATCTGTAACACATTCTGAAACAGTTAAATGGTGAAGTTTTACTAATTTTTTAAATAAACAAAGATTACCCCGGGCAGATATTATTAAATGAGCTTTCTCTTTTCGAGAAATATATGAGGTGGTTCTTAAAATGTCCTGTGATTCATTGTTTTGAAAATCAATAGCATATTTAAGATTTATCCATTTAGACTGAAAGTGATGATGCATATCTCTTCTTATAACCGGTTCTTTCATCCCCAACCAGTGACCAAGAGTGACCTATAAATGTTTATTTTTTGCATTATCAGGATAGGAATTGGCATAATCATCCCCCCTATTTTAATTATTTCTTTATCTACTAACAGAAGAAAATTAGGCAGGATATCGGACAACTTAATATTATTAGCTGATCTTGCCTCTTGAATTAGCATGTCGACTAAAAGATCTTTGGATAAAATTTCTTTACAAATTTTGACACCCTCCAATGATATATGATCTGATAGACAAAGGAAGACACTTTTCTATTTATTTTCAATATAATGAATTTTATCACATATACACAATCCCCAAGTCACATATTGGGTTCGGTGCTAATATAATAGAAAATAAAATTAGATATCTGATATAATTATCAATATAAATGATTATATAAATCCACACTAGGTTGTATATTTTTTGCAGACTAAACAAACAACCCAAGCCAAAGTACTGAGCCATCAAAATGATGATTATGCCTTTTCGAACATATAACATACAGAAGCTAGAGGCTCTAGTTGCAGAGCAACAATTTTTTGCATAGCTTAAGTATACTTGTAGCAAGTAACTTGGACAATTGATTGATCAACACAAAAATAACCCAGGCATGAGAGAGTAAAACTGGAATCTAAGGCAAAAATGATATATACCTGATTTGGATCAAAAATAATATCGCTAGTTATCACCAGTAAAATCGGTCTTGATATATTATAATCCGTCAACAAGGCCGAATTTTGTTCTTTCTCAAGCTTTTGTTTTTTGTTATAGCGAGTATGATGTGACAACTTTTTGACTGGTTTCTCTTAGAATGTCTTAATAAGGTTAGGAATTTTATTTTCATTTTTATGCTTCTCGATATATGCTTGTATTGTTTTTGGATTTTAAGTTATTAATAGGTAGAAATATATAGCAAATATAACGACATATAACAAAGTATAAAAAAAATGTCAAATAAATTATAAGCATTGGGAGGCACCCCTTTTATTAGAAAATACAATTATAACTAAAGGTATAGTTACTCCAACATGCGTTAATTTATCAATTTGCCAATATTTTTTTATCACGGCATTGTATGTTGCAAAACATAACTTGATGATTTAACACTTTGCAATTACAGAGTACACTTTTTAAAAAATAGTAATTAAGGGGTGTGGCGATCTAGTGTAGTGGTTAGGTTGTCACCCCCACCAAGTGGCAGGTCAAGAGTTCGAAACCCAC